GGGGGGGGGGGGTAATAAGGGATGAGGGGGAAATCATGGAATTTTGGTGCGAAGGGGTAGAGTGGGAGGATTCCGAATTTACGTATTGTAGGTTATTGTTCTATAGATATCTTTGGAGGAGAAATTGTTTTTGTGGAGAATTTTAGAGGATAGAAAATGTTATGCAATAAAAATGTTTTCTTTGCTTCCGACTAGAAGCTTATTTGTAATCGGCCAATTTTTCGATTCTACAATTTTGCTTGGAAATGACTTAGAATGTCATGAAACGTCGAGATAGATATTTTTGGAGCATGTCTGTGTGTGTGTCCGTATGTACATACAAAATTCTGGGAATCTTTTCATAATTTTTAACAAAAAACAGTCTCAAGTGGTAGATAAAAATCTGAAATTCTGGCTCATAATTACTATTCTTTGGGAGCACATCTGGGCAAAATTTCAGCTCAATCGGTCCAGTAGTTTTTGAGATACAGCGATTCCGAAAAATTTTTCTTCTCTCAATATTTCGAAAATACTCAAATGAATCAAATGAATCAAATTAACTTTTTGGCGTCAAAATATCCCTTATGGTAATATCTATCAAATTGGACCATCATTTGCCGAGCTAACTATTGCGAGTCACTCAGTAATTGACATTTTTCATTTTTGTAATAAAATTGACGTGAACACGATAACGCTTGAAAAAATTGAGATAGGAAGTTGAAATCAGTTAGATATTCGATCTTCTGTATAAAACTGTATTGTTCAATATCTCAAGAAACCTATTAAAACTATTTCAATTTTTTTTGAAAATATTCGTCTTGATGCTTCCTATTTCATCAGATTAAAAAAAAAAAAATTTTCATTAGAAAATAAAATTTCTACGGATTCATTTGGAGGCTTACTACCAATGGGATTGGTAGAAATAAAAAATGAAAAAGACAAATAACGCATTACGTAACGGTCACATGTCTTCTGACAGAAAGGCTCGGCCTCCTGTTTGTTTTACTTTTTCACCTAAAATTACTAATTTTAAGAATATTTGTAATTTTTTCTCTTTCTCGTATACCCTCGGAATTTTACGATTTCTTCCCTTCCCACTGGCAAGCTCGTGTAACGCTTTCACCGCAGGGCAAGGGAAGTGGGAAAACCCCACTTGAGGGAAAAACCTACCCAGGTACAGTCGTCTTCTTGCGAGACTCCCGCTCGACTAGACAATAAAACTGTGAGATTGAGAGTATCACAAATTCGGGCGCCCCAACCAGGAAGCGAACCTCGATCTCTCGCATGCCAAACTCACACTCTATATAAATACACACTTGCAAATTATTATTTTTTAATCCGTGCATTTTACAAATATCTTTGGAATGAGGGGATTTAGAGAAAAATATTTAAGGACTTCTTTATAGGGGCAGATCCCCGCCAACTCAGCAGACCCAAAAAGTCGATCTTGGGATTTTTCGTCTCAATTTTTTTATGAAAAGATGACGATTAGACAAAAATTTTGAAAAAAATGAATAATATTGATATTTGAGGGAGTTATGACTTTTTGAAAATGGCTATTTTTGATTTATTTTTTTTAAATTCCAAATTGGTCTCAATATTCCTGCAAACTGAAGATAATGTTATGTATGACATCCCATTTTGAAGGTTTTTTCACATTCTTTGAGTGTGCCGAAGGGCGATTTGATAGCTTGAAAGTTGTTTTTTTCAAAATTTTCGTGTAATCGCCATTTTTTCAGAGAATAATTGAGACGAAAATCCGCAGCATCGATTTGTCTGCCCACTGATTTGGCGTGGATCTCATAGAGGATTTCAGCGTTTTCACCTAAAACTACTACTACTACTATTTCGTAGATTTATCTGGAACCGCAAAACGCAAACATTTTACTCGCTCTTTTGTAAATATGTCTGGAACTAGTGGATTTAGAGAAAAATGTCACAAGAATTTTCTGTGGAACATTTCATGGGCTACAAAAAAAGCGTTCTGACATTTCCAGAACCGGCTAGTATCGAAGATATTTTCAAAATTATAGAAATAAAATTTGTAATAATCCATTCTCATCTCTTTATGCTACAGACCTGATCACAAAACGATATTAACGATTGGAAATAAAGCTGAGAACTATGGAGCAGTTCCATGACATAGATAAAGTCTGTAGAGCTTGCTTAAGTGATGACAGAGAGAATGCATCCATTTTTGGGGGTGAAAATGAAATTAATTCCAAGGGAGTGCAATTGTGGAGGATATTGGAGCTCCATGGGGGCATTGAGGTCAGTTCATCAAACTTCAGTGTCAAAACATGTTTACTGAGTTTTGGTATGCAATTTCAGGTGTTTAGAACTGACGGATTGCCTCAGAGAATTTGTTCCAAGTGCATTTTGAAGCTTAATGTGGCTCACAGTCTCTGGGAACACTGTCAAGAGGCGGATAAGAAGCTCAGGAAACTCCTGAGGAAGTCTCCCGGCGAAAGAGTATGCATTTATTATTCACTCAGGGATTATTTAAAAATGATAATCTACAGATGTGATACATCGCCAAAAAAATTGAACAATTCCATTCCATTAATTATGCGTTCATCTTGAGAACGAGTGTTTTTAAGGATATCCAAGTATCATGGCTATTTTCCCATACGGAAAAATATATATTCTGAAAATTATAGATTTCATATATGGAATTGGCCTAATTTATATATAAAAATTATAAAATATATATGAAAAATATATAAGTTTATATTGTATATTAATTTTATATATATTCGAAGATAATGTTAAATTGGCCTATATTACATATATTTTTTATCTATTTTTCCATGAGGGTTTTTTCCAGTGAAATGCTTTTCTACTTTTGTTGTCCAACATCAGAGCTTTCATTTGAGCCCCATTTGACCCTAACTTTCCGGACATTTTATAATGCATTTATTATTTAAACTCAATTCAATTCATTTCCTTGATGTTACAAAAGTTTTCTTTGTTTCACATCTACACAAGCCGCTCTTACTCTTTATTTCAATCTCTTATTGTTTAATTTTTTTAGGTCTGAATTTGAATCTCGATACTGAACCGTTAGAAAACGTTTTAAAAATCTAAACAAAAACTAGAAAGTTTAGTTTTGGAGAAAGATTGAATAAATAATTTGAAAATTACAATTTTTTTAAATTGCGAGCATTTTCTATAAATAATCTATAAACAATAAATTTTCCACCATAAAAATCATTTGTTCGGATTCGTAACAAATTTATTAATGTTCAGAATTTTACCAGAAATCCATTTCATGTCTAAAAAAATAAGGTTTCCGAAAATTTAACTAATTTTAATCATTGATTTATAAAGAACGAATGTCAAAAAAATAATAATTCTGTGCAAAATGGGTGTTTGCGTACAAAGTGGTACCCTGCTAGACGATTTACATGTTCTCTCAATATTGGGACTGGGTAGCCAACTGTGAATTTAAAACTCTTTGGTACATCACGAATAATGACAAGGATGTTCAGGACCTCCCATTTCACCCCCTTCCTCCAATTAAAAGCAATTAATTTTTTAAATTATATTAAGTATAGTTATTCTATAAATTTACGAACATGGTAAGGCATAGGATCCCAAAAATCCCCAAATATAAAATTTATATTAAGAATCACGTATGAAAAAATCCTATAGGATTTCCTATAGGATTTCCTATAGGAAGTCCTATATGATATCCGATAGGAAATCCTATAGCATTTTTTCATACGAAAAAGGGTCCGTATCGTACACAAATACCCTAAAATGTAATTTGGGTAACGCAGCATATTCACAATTTTTTCAAATTTTTCTAGCGCAATTTAATCGACAAACTTGATGATTGAAAATCGTTGAATCTATAGTTAGGTCTGTACCAAACTGTAAAAGATACTTGGATATCCTTAAAAGAAAATCAGAAAGCTTTTTTTAGCTGAAGAAATTACAAAGAAATGCGTTCTGAAATTTCCTCAAATTTTATCATTACTCAAATATATCAACAAATATCCATTATAATCCACCAACTGAAATTAGTTTCGCAATTCTTCACAAAACTTCACATGAAAAAATTCTCACCTTCGTTTTTTTCCGACAGGATCCTGCTTTTCACCAAAACCTCTCAAACAATGACTTCTCAAACCCCCTAAAAATCCTAGAAACTGATGACTCCATCACCATAAAAAACGAAGGGCCTCACCTCGAAAAAATCCCTCCACAGCCCTCAGAAAATCTTCAACCCCTTTCCCCTTCCCCCACATCTGAAACCCCTGACACCGTCCAGAAGAATTCCGCAACTCCCCTAGACCACTCCAAACCCTCATCCCCAGGTGCAAAACCTCCGGACCCTTACCAGCCCTCCTTCCCCTCTCAAATCTCCGAAAAGACCTTCCAGGGACGCCTCAACCTAATTAAACACTTGAACCCCCATGAGAAACTCCCCCTCATCGAGGTCGATTGCCTCCAAAACCAGAGTCAACTCTCCAAGCCCTTGAATTCCTTTCAAAAACCCTCAGAACCTCTGGAGATAATTCTGAAGAGTCACCAGCCCCTCGAGATTAATTCCTCCCCCCCCAAAGCCCTTGAAATCCCCTCGGAAAGAAAATTCACCTGCGCCTCCTGCTCCCAATCCTTCAAAACCAAGAAGTCCCTCATCAATCACAACACGAAACTCCACTCGAAGTCCCCAGAGGGTCTCGAGGACCAGGAGCACAAGTGCGAGACCTGCAGCAAGACCTTCAGAACCGAACTCAAGCTCCAGAGGCACCAGAAAACCCACGAGGCCCTGAAAAATCCTGACTTCAGGAGATTCCTGTGCCACATCTGCAGCAAAACCTTCAGGCAGAAGACTGGGCTGACGTTCCACATGAGGACCCACACAGGGGACAAACCGTACGTCTGTAAATTCTGCAATCGAGGGTTCGCGTCCAAGTCCAACTGCATCAACCACGAGAGGACCCACACGGGGGTGAGGCCCTTCGTCTGTCATTTCTGCTCCGCTGCATTTGCAAAGTCCTGTACTTTGAAGGCGCACATCACGACGCACACTGGGGAGGCGAATTATCACTGCAAGACGTGTGGGAAGAGCTTCAAAAGACTCAAGTATTTGAAGGAGCATAGGTTCACCCATACTGGGGAGAAGCCTTATATCTGTAAGATGTGTGGCACTGGGTACAGTCACTCCGGGAGCCTTTTTGTGCATGAGAAAAAGTGCAAGGCTCAGGGGAGGAGTTTTGGAGAGGGGGGAGGGGGGCTTGAGGGTCTCGGGGAGGGTGGGATCATGAAATGGTGATCCAACAATTCGATTGATTTGTTGGCCCCATTGCGGGTGGGTTGAAGTGGGTGTGATCCATTACAGGTCGAACCAATAACTTCCCGACCAATTCCCATTTTTCTGTTTATTGGAATGGGACCATTCAAATATTACGTCACGTGTTTTTTGGATATTTTAGACTTTCCCCTTTCCCCCATCACAAGATCGGCGCAAAGGTGGGGACACCTTGCTATATTACGTCACAAAATTCAACCCCCCCCCCCCCCCCC